GCGTCTGTGTTTGCATGTGTGTGTGTATTTGTTTGTCTATGTGTGTTTGTATGTGTGTGTTTATTTGTTTGTTTATGTGTGTTTGTATGTGTGTGTTTATTTGTTTGTTTATGTGTGTATTTGTTTGTTTGTTTGTGTGTTTATGTATGCCTGTATGCGTATTCGCTTTGAAATATAGCATCACGCATTTTAATTTATTTTTAATATAAAGTTACACTATCCACCACACCGAATCATCCATCTATCTATCATGTGCTGTAGTCTACCTATGTGCAGCAAGTGCCTGCTTATCAAATGTATGTCTCTGTATGTTTGTATGTCTCTGTATGTTTGTATGTCTCTGTATGTTTGTATGTCTCTGTATGTTTGTATGTCTCTGTATGTTTGTGTGTGTGTTTGTATTTATGTGTGTGTTTGTGTGTGTGTGTGTGCGTGTGCAACCCGAACGTTTGTATTGATAAGAAAATTTTGAGCAACTAATGTGGATGCGATGTGATGTTTGTGGAGTTTTGTTAATTATACGAGATGCTTTCCTAGATAAGATGCTGCTGATGATGATGATGATGCTGATGATGATGCTGATGATGATGATGCAAAGAGTTTTGATGGTGATGACAAAGACGACGACGATGATGATGATGATAAGGACGATGATGAAGATTGCACAGTTCCTCACAATGGATGTATATTTAATATAGAAGTGAGGTAATTTAATTAAACACATCTTTCGCATGCTAGCACATCTTCACACAAACAAACATACATACAAACATACATACAAACGCACATACAAACACACAAACACATACAAACGAACATACATGCAAACATGTAAACAAACATACATACAGCGCCATGCAATCAGAGCGGTTAATTTCACACGAATGAACGATGCATAATGAATGTGAAATAATGCGTGTACAACTGTACAACTACTCGTTTGTATGTATGTGTGTGTGTGAATGTGTGTGTGTATGTGTGTGTGTGTGTGTGTGTGTGTGTGTGTATCATATAGGCTTTATAAAAATGCTTGTAAGCATATTGCATTCAAATTCTCTCTCTTCTGCCTCAATCAAACATACAATAAACATCCTTCCAAACTATATTTTATACATACAAACACACACACACACACAAACACAACAACACGTGCACACACGTACACACACGTACACACACACACACACACACACACAAGCAGTCTTCTTCTATTCACGAAACATCTTTCATCTACAACGTCGGCATCTGCTCTCATGTAAACAATCTGATGATGATGATAATGATGATGATGGAGAGGAGGAAGAAGAAAAGAAAGATGAAAAAGATGATGATGATAATGATGATGATTGATGATAATGATGATGATTGATGATAATGATGACGACTACTACTACGACGGTAATATACAACTTGATCAAATTTCAATAGATCACAAAGATGTTTTCATCATCATCATCACCACCATCATCGCCTTAATCGTCATCATAATCATCACTGCTCCAATCTTAGTTTCGCCATCAAATTAATCCAAACAATTTAAACGATTTAAAGAGCATTATGTGATGCTACTGAGCTTGCTAGCAGAATGACGACGATGATGATGATGGTGACGATGATGATGGTGCTTAAAAAGATGTTGATGATAACAACGATGATGATAAACAGAGTGGTGGTGGTGATGACGATGATGATGAAGAAGAAGAGGAGGATGATGATGAAGAAGAAGAGGAGGATGATGATGAAGAAGAAGAGGAGGATGATGATGAAGAAGAAGAGGAGGATGATGATGAAGAAGAAGAGGAGGATGATGATGAAGAAGAAGAGGAGGATGATGATGATGAAGAAGAGGAGGATGATGATGAAGAAGAAGAGGAGGATGATGATGAAGAAGAAGAGGAGGATGATGATGAAGAAGAAGAGGAGGATGATGATGAAGAAAAAGAAGACGACGACGACGATGATGATTAATGTGAACATTTGTTACGCCGAAAATATCTTTTCAAAATGATATGCAACGCTTTAACATAAACAAATAGGCAATCGGATTGAAGCGCACAGACAGACACGTACGCAGACAGACAGACGGACAGACAGACAGACAGAGAGAGAGAGACAGAAAGAAAGAGAGAGAGAGAAAGATAGAGAGAGAGACAGACAACCATACAAACGTTCACTCCAACATATATACGTGTAAATAATTCAGGAAAGATTCATAGATATGCAAACAGAATAAAAATTAACATCAACAATATCATAAGCAGTAGCAACATCAACAACATCGACAACAACAGCAACATCAACAACATCAACAACAACCACATTAACAACATCAACAACATCAACAACATCAACAACAACAACATCAACAACATCAACAACATCAACAACATCAACAACAACCACATTAACAACATCAACAACATCAACAACATCAACAACATCAACAACAACAACATCAACAACATCAACAACAACAACATCGACAACAACATCAACATCAACAACAACAACATCAACAACAACAACAGCAGCAGCGGGCTCGGAGATGGTCATTTAAATCTTCAATATAAACTGACGTGTGTCTGTTCCCTTGGTGTTGGTGATGATGACGACGACGATGATGACGATGATGATAATGACGATGATGATGATGATGATGATGACGATGATGATGTGTAAAGAGAAAAATGCTTTCCATGATAAGTGATGGTGGTGTTTTTAAAGAAAAAAAGCTGCATTGTTTATTAAGATGATGGTGATGATGACGATGATGATGATGATGATGACGATGATGATGATGATGGTGGTGGTGATGATGATGGTGGTGATGATGATACCAACAACAACCATAGTAATAATAATAATAATAATAATGATGATGATGATGATGATGATGATGATTGCATAAACATAATATTAAAAAATCAACGTATGAATCACTCATATATACAAACGTACACACACTCACATACCGACATACATAGTCAAACACACATACAGATACACTGACAGACATTCATTTGGAGGCATAAATGTTTACATTTTTTCAACAACACAACTGAAATGGAAAGATTTATAGTGTAAATATTTCATTTATTACATTCATTCATATACGCATATGTATATACATACATACTTACGTACGTACGTACATGTGTGTTTGCGTGTGTTTATCTTTTTGTATGTACGTGTATTAGTATGAGTGTGTGTATGTGTGATGGAAATATTGACAAATGAATGTACAAAAAAAAGAATCGATAAATGAATGAATTAATGAATGAGTGAGCGAATTAAAAACGAATATACCAACTAATAGAAAGAAGAATCTATAAATTGGTTCAAATACAAAAAAAACACAATAATTATTGAATGTTTGAACGAACAAATGAATGAATGAATGTTTGAACGAAACGAACGAACAAATGAATGAATGAACAAGTGAATGATTGATTGATTGGAAGAACAAATGAATGTAGATAAATGAATGAACCTTCTCCAGCTCCAGCAAATGAAACCGCAGTACTTGTATCGCCTGGACCATCTGTAAATGTGAAGTGATAAAATGTTATCATCATCATCGTCATCACCATCATCATCATCATCATCATCATCATCATCATCCCCATCGTCGTCGTCATCATCATCATCGTCAGCAGAACGGTGAACTGTAGACTTTATTAATCTTTGATCTTCAAAATTAGGCTGCAGTTCTGATTTTAGTTTCGTTCCACAACTACGCCACCACCTCCACCACTACCACCACTACCACTACTACCACCATTTCCACCACAACCATCTTCATCACCCCCGTCGTCATCATCGCCATATAATTTCACTTTCATTCAATCATTCAGTATTCATCCATTTGCTCGTCCGATCATTCGTTTGATTTTTCACTCGTTAATTTCTTCCTTTACTCGTTCACTTGTTCGTTCATTACTTTATTTGTACGTTCATTCATTCTTTCATACACTCATACATTCATTCATACATTCATACATTCAGCCATTCATTCATTCATTATTCATTCATTCATTCATTCATACATTCAGTCATTCATAGCTTGTTTCACACACAGCCTGAGAAACACAGCACACCACAATATTGAAAATCATTTTTTGCGTTTTCATTCATTCGTTCGTTCAATCGATCCTTCATTTATTCAGTTTCGGTTCTTTCATTTAGTTTTTGTTCAGTTCATCATTTATTCCTCTTTTTATAATTCATTCATTCATTCATTTGTTCGCTAATCTTTGCATATATTTATTTTCCACATGTGTATTTCAATTCACTTTTTTCATAAATTTTTGCTCATTCAAACATTAACATAGACCTAGAACCACAGACTAACACACACTCACACATTCAAACACACAAACACATACAAACATGCACACACAAAACCAAATATACAAACAAATGATTGTACGAACACATGCAAACATATATACATTACAAACACTTACACATACATACTCGCATAAAATCATACAAACCACCTATGACACACACACACACACACACACACACACACACAAACACACACACACACAAACACACAGACAGACCGACAATTTTTTGTTCACTAGTTCTTCATCCATCGCAAATTAGATTAGCAAAAGAAAAGCTTTTTCGGTAAAAAAAATAACAAACATCTCTTTCAATAACGCTCCAAAAATACTGAAATGTACTTCTCTATACGCATATGGTTTTACGCACGTACACACATACACTAACACACACACACATATACACTAACACACACATACATATATAAATAGATAAATAAATATATATATACGCACACTACGGTATCCTACACAGATAGGGTACGTAGAAGAATTTCATGGGCTTGAAAAACAGACGAACATTGAGCGTCTTCAATGTACTAATACAAAAAATAAACGAAACGTTTGGCATAACGAAACGTATAACGATAACGTATCAAAACGAAACGAAACGATAAGACAAGCAATACACACATTGTCAAGGTGAAGGGGCAAAAATATAATTTTTACAATCTCGCCATCATCGGTAACATCATCATCATCACCTGCACTATCATTATCATCACCACCTGCACTATCATCATCATCTTCGTCTCCGTAATCGTTTGGTTGGAGATCGAAGTGAGTACCAGGGAGTATGAACAAAAACATGTGCAAAAAACAACAACAACAACAATTATAATGACAACAACAACAACAACAATTATAATGACGACAACAACAACAACGACATCAAAAGACAGCAAACAACATCATCCCCCCCCCATTGTCTTACAACAAAAAATTCTATCCGTGTGTATGGTTTATATACTTTAAAATAATAAAACAACTGCCATATCAACGTTACATTCGTTCATTCATTCGTTCATTCATTCGTTCATTCTTTCTTTCTATTACTACTTGCGTTCTCACGGCTACAACTACAATTGCTACTACTACCACCAGCTGCTACAACTACAACTACAATTACTACTACTACCACCAGCTGCTACAACTACAATTACTACTACTACCATCACTTTTAATGTTAATGCAAAGCACCAGCGAAACAAGACGAAAAAGAACGAAAAGAACCCACCAAGCTATCCAGTTCATGATTCGCTGAAAAGAATGGCTTCTCTGCTTTAGTCTGCAAAATAATTTCATAATTATTACTATGTAAATTATTACAATCATTAATTTTCATTAATGCTATAATTATAATATATTAATGAAGGATGGTGCAGAGGTAATCCTATCTCCTATCGCATTGACCGCGTTCCATTGCTGCCACTGCTAATGATATTGTTGATGCTGTTTGTATGCAGGTCATCAAGATGGAAGATGGCTGGAAGACTGACTTCATTTAACTTAACTTCATTTTCGATGGAGGTTGGGGGAAAAAAATTTCGACATTTTGAGATTATGGCACGCAGATTTGAATGTGTATGTATTTATGTATGTGTGTGTGTGTGTTCGTGTGTGTGTGTTCGTGTGTGTGTTCGTGCGAGCATTGTTTATTTCGTTGTTCATTTCAATTAAGATTCACATAAGTGGCATTAATTGACTTCTCCACTGATTCGCTTTTCTTTTGTTTATGCATTCTTTCATTCATTTGTTGCTCGCTCCTTCAATCGTTCATTCCTTTGTTCTTTTTAAATATATTTTCAATCATTCATTCTTATTCATTCACTCATTCATTCATCCGATTCTCCGTTCCTTTCTTAACATCATAATCTCTTAACTTAATTTACTCATAATGTCATTTTTTATCCATGTTTTCATAAATATTTCGATTCTTTTAGTCACTCACTCACTCACTCACTCACTCACTCATTCGTTCACTCATTCAGTCCCTCATTTATTTTGCTCGTTCGATAAATGTACCTACATGGCATTCAGTTGTTTATAAATATATCGAACGGATTCGAATTTTTAAAGACGAGTTCGTATACAAAACATACAATGAAATATATATTCACGCACGCACACACACGCGCACACACACACGCACACACTCATATAAGTACATACACACAAATCCAAAAACTACAACGATGTTAAAAATTTTGAAGTGTCGTGAGAAAATAAAAACACATGCATACACTCCAATGCATGTGTTGTTGTTGCCGATGTTGTTGTCTTGTTGTTGCCGATGTTGTTGTTGTTGATGTTGTTGTTGTTTATTGATGTTGTTGTTGTTGTCGATGTTGTTGTTGTTGTTGTTGTTTTCACGATTGTCATCTCAGTTAGTTTATCATAGTTGTTCAATATAATTGTAATACTCCATAGTCATGCGCGTACAAACACACAAACACACACACACACACTTACACACATACTCACATTCATAAATATGTACACACATAGCACACATGCATATTCGTTTATATACAAAACAGTCATTGTGTTGAAAGATTGAAACTATTACTACGACGCTGCTAACACCACCACTACTACTACTACTATTACCACCACTACTATTACAACTACAACTACCGCAACTACAACTTCTTCTATTACGACTACTACCACAACTACAACTACTACTAATAACAATATCAGTATTATTACAAAATGTTTAAATGTGGTATGGTTATAATACTCAGGACCATTTATAATCGTGTGTGTGCGCGTGCGTGTGTGCGCGTGCGTGTGTGTGCGTGTGTGTGTGTGTGCGTGTAATGATGGTAACGACGACGACGACGATGTTCCATTCATAAAAATTTGGTGTTACTGTGGGAAGGATTTGGAAATTGCCTTCAAATTGTTTGTACGTTAGTCTAGTTGTACACGTATGTACGTGTGCACGTTGAAGTTGTACATATTGTATGAGTGTGTGTGTGTGTGTATGCGTGTGTGTGTGTGTGTGTGTGTGTGCAGGTGAATAAACAGAAAATGTGTGAGAGCTGTTTAAATTGCGGTTCATTCATTAATTAGTTTATTAATTTATTCAGCTGTTTGTCGTTTTGTTCATTCACTCGTTCATTCATTCATTTATTAATTCACTCATTCATTCATTCATTCATTCATTAATTCACTCGTTCATTCATTCATTGTTTCTTTCTTTTTTCCTTTCTTCCTTCCTTCGTGTATTAGTTATTTTTTGTAGCGAAACCAGCCAGCCAAGCAGACAGCATTTAACTTTTAATTGTAAATCGATAGATTCAACATGTGTTAACGGATGTTAGATGTGTAGTGTATGTACCATCCATCCATCCATCCATCCATCCATCCATTCATTCATTCATTCATTCATCCATTCATACGTAGGAACGTATAAATGGATGAATGAATGAATATTTTTACGTTTATGTATCTGTGTGTGTGTGTGCTTGAATGGTAAGTTTTGTATTTTTATTCTATTTCAACATTTCACGCACTGCACATATTGCTTCAAGTTGTCAACGAACGAACGAACGAACGAAAGAACTGGTAAACGAACAAATGAAAAGTAGAAACAATAATAAAACTACAACAACAAAAGTAGACAGTCAGACCTGATTGGAGAAGACTCTGATATCCTCATTGAAAGACTCGGACGAGCAGACATCTCCGCCGGCTATTCTCGGCTCTCTCGGTGTGCAGGTGGCCAGTTCACACTTCTCGAATATCAGGGCGAGCAGAGGAAATAGTGGGTGGCTGTGGTGGAAAAATAGTTCGGTCAGTTCGATTGGCTGTTTTGTCGAGTTTCGTAATGTTAAAATGATCGTGATTGGTTGTTAAGATAATTGCATAGTTTTGATTGGATGGTGATTATTTGCAGTAATTAAATAACAATGAATTAATGTATCTGGATCGATAAACAGTTTGCGTGTTGTTTAATGAAAGATTCATTTGTTTCACCAGCCAGCCAGCCAGTTAAGGAACGCACCCATATACGGCATCCTTATCTCTCTTCATCTGGTTCTCACTGGAGAGGATGGGCGTCGATGGGGGTCCAGCCAGTCCGGATCCGTAATTAGGGATATATGGATTCATGCTGTTGTTCGTGTTGGAGTTTGTGTTGGTGTTTGTGTGGTAGAGCGAGTGAGCGGGAGAGTGGTGGTTCGAAAGCGCCCTCGGATCGTACATGTTCAAAGACATGTTGTTGTTGCCATTGCTGTTATTGTTGTTGTTGTTGTTGCTGTTGTTGTTGTTGTTGTTGTAGGCGTCGTAGTCGTTTGTGTCGCTGTGATTCGGCGTGTTGTTGTTGTTGTTGTTGGATGGCGTCGTTGACGATGTTGTGTTTGGCAGCTGCATGTCGCTGTCGTACTGTCGTTGGTTGGATGGATTGATGGATGGATGGATTGATGGATGGATAGATTGATGGATGGATTGATGGATCATGAAGGTGGTGGTGATGATGATGATGAAGATGATGGTGTTAATGATGATGATGAAGAAGATGATTTATAAAAAAAATTCAGTTTGTTTTATTTTTGTAACTCAACGAACGACTTAGAGAGGCACGCAACTACATTCAACTGCAAGCAAGAAGGAAAACAACAACAACCACACAAAACAACAAAGGAGAGGCGCTCTATATCTAGATGTTAGTCAAACCCAGAAAGAGAGAACGATGGAGAGAGAGAGAGAGAAAGAAAGAAAGAGAAAGTCGAGAGCAGAACGTGAAGAAAAGATGTTTCTAACTTTAAATTATAAACAAATGTTTCATTACCGCTCTGTTGGACTGCACACGTAACACACACACACACACACTCGCACGAACACACACACATTCACACAGACGCACACACACACACACGCACATGCATGTATACATACACATTAATTTGTATATACAAAGTACACACACATACATTCGCTCTTATGGTCGGTGCCTTCATCTCCATCACCATCGTCATCATCATCACCATCATCATCACCATCGTCATCATCATCATCATCGTCATCATCATCACCATCGTCATCATCATCATCATCGTCATCATCATCACCATCACCATCATCATCACCATCGTCATCATCATCACCATCGTCATCATCATCACCATCACCATCATCATCACCATCGTCATCATCATCACCATCGTCATCATCATCATCATCATCGTCGTCGTCATCTTCAGCAACGTTTCAATGACTCCGTGTTAATCTCGATATTGTGTTATTTTTGATCCTTCAAGATCTCCCAACATCACGAACATCATTGTAACTCCAGCCTCTAATCACAAACCATCATCATCATCATAATCACACCACACACACCTACACACACACACACACACACTCATATAAAGAAACATACAAACATACATATACAGAGTGATAATATGATATAAAGGAACTATCACGAAAATATGCGTGTATGTAACATATGTGTATATTTATGTTTGTCGAAATGTATGTATCTATGTATGTTTGTTTGTATGTATGTGTGTGTGCGTGTGTGTGTTTGAAGATGGTATAAAGATAGAAAAACAATGGAAGATAAAAAAAAGAAGTTCTTTTTAAAACATAACAACGTATCAAAACAAGTGAAGAAGATGAAGAAGGAGATGATGATGATGATCATTATTATTATTAGTGCTGCTACTACTGCTACTACTACTCTAACAACTACTACTGCAACTACTACTGCAACTACTACTACTATATTTAAAACGATGATGATGATGATGATGATGATGATGAACATGATAAATAATATAAACTTACTCTTTGAGACATCGTTAAGTAGTTACGACGATGATGATGATGATGATGTTGTTGATGTAGATGGTAATGATGATGATCCTCTTTGTGTTGATGATGATGATGATGACGAAAAAAGATTTATATCAGTAAATCACTGCTGATGTTGTTGTTGTTGTGGCGTTAAATTTTCTATCACAAATTCATCATCATCATTTTATGCTACGATGATGATGATGCTAGGCTTGATAATGATATCTGCAGTGATGATGACGATGATGTGGTGGTGGTGATGATGATGATATGGTGGTGGTGATGATGATGATGACGGCAAGTCTTTTTAAGTTTCAATTTTAAAAATTCGTCACAATTTCAATTCGTAAACTGACTGTTGTTATTAATTATAACTTTTGTTATGCTTCTGCTGTAGTAGTAGTAGTAGTAGCGGTAGTAGTAGTAGTTGTTGATGTTGTTGTTGTCACTCTGTCAAGTTGTTGTTGTTGTTGTTGCTATCCTAATTCCTAAGCCCCCAGAGCAATTTAATCATCATCATAACCACATAATCTTTTCCATCATGTTATATTTTCTACATCATCATCATCATCATCAACATCATTCGCTATTGTAGTTGCTAATCTAAAGATAGTTAAGTGTTTTGTTGATAAAAATGAAGATGACGACGACGACGATGATGATGACGTTGTTGTTGTTGTTGTGGTTGTTGTTGTGATAGTTTAACGTTATTAACTCAACAACAAAACTCGAGTGAACCTTTGATGTTGTTGTTGATGTTGCTAATGTTAATTGCGTGCCTCTTTTTGTCGTTGTTGTTTAAAATTTGAAGCGTTAACGTTGTTCCGCAGTCAGCCTACCATCCATCTGCCCATCCAGGTCTCAAACCACCCGCCCTGCTATCGTAAATCAAATCATAAAGACGAGCCAACAATCTGACAACAATTAACTTTATGGTGTTGTTGATGGTGGTGAGGATTTTATATTATTAGTGTTATAATAATAATAATAATAATAATTATTATTATTATTATTATTATTGTTGTTGTTGTTGATGATGATGATGGTTTGATGACGATGGTGTTGGTTGTTTAAAACACGGAACTGTTTTACATTAGAGTCCAAGCAATATTATTCCTCATACATCTATACAGACGATAGGTATTTCCTGTGTGTTTATTTCAACATTTGTCATACCGAAAGGATACGAAACTGTAATAATAATAAGATTATCGATTATAACGAAACGAGAAATGTTATTTATATTTATATCTATCTATCTATCTGTCTATCTAATCTATCTATCTATAATTTAACAACCTTTAAATTTATATTTATATTTGATTCAACCTTTTATTGTGTAATTTTAAAAGTTTTTAAAAATTATGCTTAAATATTTATATGTATCCGAAGCAGATGAAGATTATTATGACAGAATAATTATCCAATTCAGCAGTTCAAGATGACGGTGTTGTTGTATCCATTCAGTTATTTATTTATTTTATAGTTACATTGCTAATAAGCCTGGAAAGTTATTTTAAAATTAGATCGTTAACAATATGGATGAACGAACGAACGAACGAACGTGTGAGTGAGTGAGTGAGTGAATGAGTGAGTGAGTGAGTGAGTGAGTGAGTGAGTGAGTGAGTGAGTGAGTGAGTGAGTGAGTGAGTGAGTGTACGAGTGAAAATTTCAAATGTTTATCAACAACATTAGCACATTTACGTTATCATAACAACGTCCATTGGCAAACTTATCAATTTAATTATAACACTTTACAGCTAATAATTTCATTAATAATTAATATTCATCTATCCAAATATTCTCAACTGAATTGTAAAAAGATAAGTTTATCGGTGTGTACAATCTCATGTATCCGTTGTATCACAACGTGCAAGACAGCGTTTGTAACGTATTGAAATGAGAACTGATGTTTTCAAAATTATGTACTTTTATCTATATACCTCTATGTATGTGAATGTATGTATGTATATATATATATGTTTGTTTGTATATATGTTTGTATGTATATATTTATATTTGTATGTATGTTTGTTTGTTTTGTATGTATGTATGTATATATGGATAGATGGATGTTAGTATGTGTGTATGTATATATGTGTGAATATATGTATGTGTGAATATATGTATGTGTGTCAGTTTGTATGCTTGTATTCTTATATTTTTTGTTATATGCATTTCGAGTGTATATATATCTATCTATCTATCTATCTATCTCTGCCTACAGATAATGCTATGTTATTTGTATTTTAACATTAAAACATATTTAATAAATATATGTTTTCAGATCAGCAATACATATTATATATAAATACATGGCGATTATTGTGATGATGCTGCTGCTGATAATGATGATGATGATGATGACGATGTTGTTGTTGTTGTTGTTGTTGTCTTATCTATACCAGCATTACTCTCCATCCAGCCGGTACAACGACAAAATGGACAATAAAATAAAATAAAACAAACTCGATGATGATGATGATGACGACGACGATGATGACGTCACGCACACGCATGACAATATATTATGTATATTATATATATACAAATATATATACAATCAATTTTAAAAAATACAATATACCTTTATAGTTTAGCGTCTTTATATAAAGGCCTATATTTACATATATAACCCTTTTTAAATAAATATATGTATATTTAACATATTATATGTATATATATATATATATGTATGTATATTTACATATAATTGTATAAATCTCTATAATATTGTTCGGCGCGTAGCATAGATATAATAGAGGCAGACAGTTGAGTAAGATCGATAGGTACATGTCAATCAAATGACGTAGACCACACCTACTTGACACTGACCACGCCCAGTATTTCATCCATCTTGCTTATGTGGTTAGTTTGATGTGTTTGTTTGTTTGTATGTCTGTTTGTATGTCTGTTTGTATGTCTGTTTGTATGTTTGTTTGTTTGCATTTTTGCGTGTGTATTCATGCATGTTTTTGGTATATAAAATGGTGTATAATTTGTACATATATTTAAAGGCACCTTTGAAATGATTTTATTACAGTATAATATTATCATAATTTTACTTTATCGTCATCTTCACCACCATGATGTGCCTGTGCCAGCATCTTCATCATAACATCGTCTAACATCGTCTACTTAAAACTTTGTAACGTACATTCAAAATACACATACACATACAAACAAACAATCATACACACATACATACTCACACATACATACCTGCATGCATGCACATTCATTCATAATACAATACATAGACAAGCAAACTGCTTGCATGCACACAATCCATGTATATACGTATATATATAGATAGACAACAAACACATCACATAAAATGTGAAATATGTGTTTATATTATTACTCGCGTTAGTATGTGCGTACGTCTGCATGTGATTGACAGCTGTCGATCAAATTAGGCCCCACCCATCTGGCCGTTGATTGATGGCGGGTCGATGTATAGTTGATTTGGTCGAGTGAGTTATTGACTTGGATATATTTGTATGTGTTTGTTGGTCTGTATGTTTGTGTGTATGTATGTGTTTATGTATTTATATGTGTGTGAGTGTTTGTGTTGTTGTACACATCCATGTTTGCATGCTTTGCTAAAATAATCTTTTTGAGTTTGTTAAATTGTGTATGTATGTATGTCTGTATAATTGTTGTAATGTATGTGTTTATAGTTTGTCTGTGTGTTTGTCGGTTTGTATTTGTGGCCATGCCTGGTTCATTCGAACTTTTTAAAAGGCTTCATGATTATGATTCACTCCGCTAACTTGGCGTGAATTAAGTAATTGTACTGACAATGTATATCTATGGGAGGGAATAGTAGTAGTAGTAGTAGTAGTAGTAGTAGTAGTAGTAGTAGTAGTAGTAGTAGTAGTAGTAGTAGTAGTAGTAGTAGTAGTAGTAGTAGTAGTGTGACGACGACGACGATGGTAACGATGTCTGTTGAAATGGTTTACACTGCTGTTGGCAACTTTGAAAATCATTTTTCAAGTTGCCATTGTAAAATGAAAAAGAAAACAAAGAAAGAAAGCAACAACAAAGACAGTATAATGAGTGACCAAAGTAACTTCATTACTCTATTATCACTCGTCAACATTATCCTATTATCACTTGCTTTCATCCGCCATTTTGCAGCGTAAGAAGGGTGGCTGACAAATGTTAACATAACACTTACCTTCATCGTTCCTTTACTTCACTTGACTTCTTCTCAATTTTCGTTTGTCTGTTCGTTTGTTTGTTTGTTTGTATATGTGTATGTTTGTGCGTGTGCTTACATGAGTGTTCAGCATTTCTTTTTTTATCAGTTCATTTTTTCATTCATTCATTCATTCATTCATTCATTCATTCATTCATTCATTCATTCATTTAGTTTCTTTTGCTTTATCAGCGGCTTTAAACTTCACTTGGCTTATTTTTTTTGAATTACATATTCTTTCTCATTTTTTTATAATTTTCATTCCTTCATTTGTTCACTTATTCACTCCTTCATTCCTCGCGTTCACATGCACAACTCTGTCTGAAAGGCAAAATCGATGGAGCATGCCTGCATGCAGCCAAGCGTGACGACACTTTCTGTCGCTCACGCACCTGGCGACCAAAAATTTGAAGCGATGACACAGTGTGGTCGTTGTCCCAGCGCTGTTGTTGATGATTGTCTGTGTTGTTGCTGAAGTTGCTGACGATGTTGTTGTTGCTGTTGTTGTTCATGTTGTTGTGTCTGTCTAACATTATGTGATGTGGTGTGTGTTGGTCCGTTGTTGTTGTTGTTGTTGTTGTGTTGCAGCTGACTTCATGCTGTTATCAGCTGCATGTCGGCGCCTTTAATGATTGACTGGTTGATGGGTTGTCGGATGCAGTGACGGATTGAAGGAGTGAGAGATGGATTGATGATTGTCTGTGGGATGAATTAGCAAACAAACGAACAAATAGATGAATGAATGAATGTATAAATGAATGAATGAACGAATGGATTATTTTATAAAATATCTGAGAAATAAGGTAAGGACGATTTCATTCAGTAGCCGTGTTGTGTTCTGAATGCACTGGAACACCAACCGCTGTGACGAACAGCAATGTAAACAAAACAAAACAACAACAATAACAACAGCAACAACAATATTAATAACAATGGCACTCTTATTATTCTTAACTCAGCCGAACGAAGACATCAACAA